GCGTAATGCTGTATAAAGAATCCAAAATCAAATGAGCTGGAAAGGAAACTATGAAACTAGGCCCAGCTCTTCAGATTCAAATGAACACTCTTCTAAAGAGAACTATTGACCAGGCGGGCAAGTGGGGAAACCCTGGAGCTTTCTGTGCTTTCAGCTCTCCCCCAATTGGTTCAATAATCACTACTGAGCACATACTGCTTGTATTCTTAAGCCACATCATCAGTATTCGGCATATTCTTATAGGTTACGAGTCACAAGTCATGCTCCCTGGAATTCACAGGCAAAGAGGAGAGCTGGGAATATGTAATAAGAGTTATCTCAGGGTAAATACCTATTCCCATGGGGGTGGAGAGGGGGGGTTCACCAGCTCTGCACCAAGCACAAGTCCATGAGAACCATTTTTCCCTGAGGCTGCCAGCTATGTAGGACCAGAGAGGAAGAGGCAAGGAGGGCTTCCTGGAAGAAGTTTTGTTTCCATGGAGATCTGAAAAATATGCCAGTCATCTTCAGCTCCAGGGAAAACAGTAAGAAAAGAGGATGGAGAGAAGCCAGCATCTAGGATGGAAGTCAGGGATGATTAAGTAGATGGTAGTGGTGCATAGTGGTTGCTGCGGGTAGATTTTGTCTGTTTTCTTTTGTTTGAGACAGGTTCTTTCTATGTAGTCCTAGTGGGCCTGGACCACTTGCTATGTAGACCAGGTTAGCCTTGAACTCACAGAAACTTACCTGCCTCTGTCTCCCACATGCTAGGATTAAAGAGCTATGCCCCTATGGCCAGCTACAGCCAGATTTTTAACATGTCAGCCAGTGAGACCCCACAGGGGACAGGATAAACAAAGAAAAGCAGGGTGACAGGCAAGACAGGATCCTAGTTTAGAAATTGCTTAGCCTGAGGTGTCCCAGAACATTCCACATCTGAAGGTGCAGAGCTCAGGAGAGGCTCTGGAAATGGGTTCACATAGAATCAGCCAGCAGCAAAGAAGATACACAAAGCCAGCCCAGGGAGCTAAGGACCTCTTTTTAGTTTTGTATGTACATGTACTCATATATGTGCCAGCATACGTGTGGCAGTTAGAGGACCATCTTGGGTGTCAGTTACTACCTTCATTCAGACGGGGTCACTTTGCTAGCCTAGTCTGCATATGCTAGGCTAGCAGGCCCAAGGGCTTCTGGGGATTTACCTGTTTCCATCTCTGTGATGGTTTAAATGAGAAATACCCTGTAGGCTCACATATTTGAACACCTACTTGATCCCCAGTTGGTGGCACTATTTACAATTATGGAACATTTAGGAGGTGGAGGAAAGGAGGGGGCCTGAGGAGCCCTGTGGACACCCACCGCTGCCTGTGTAGGCTGCTGCTTCTTGTTCCGCTTGGGCCGTAACTTGGTAAAGTGTTCCAGTCTCTTGCCTTCCTCTGAGGGCAGCTCAGAAATCAACCCGGAGCTTCGCTTCTCCTGCCGGATTGATGGGAAAGGTGGGTCTTCAATGTGAATCGGCACCTCCTCCAGGGCTTTATCAAGATCAAACTCCATTTCTGAAATAAAACAGATCCCAAAGCAAAGGATGATGCAAAGAGTATAATAGAAAATTCCCAAGGGCCAGGCCTGGTGGAGTACAACTACAGTGCCAGCACTGGGGAAGCTAAGGCTGGAGCATTGCTGAGTTCAGGACAACCTGGGACACACACTCAGACCTTCTCAAAAGCAGAACAAAAAAGGAAGGAAAGAAAAGAGAGAAGAAGAAAGACAGGGAAGGAGGGAGGAAAGGAAGAAAGGGGGAGGGAAAAAAGATAAAAGAAAGGAAGAATAGAGAAACCCAATTCCATCACCAGCAACAATAAAAACCTAAGAAATCTATACAAGTTATGTTTTGCGTTGTTCTGTTTTAGACAGGCTCTCACTCTGTAGCCAGGTTAGCCTAGAACACACTATGTGCCCAGGCTGATCTTCAACTCACATCCATCCTTCTACCCCAGTTTTGTAAGATTACAGGAATGAGCAACCATACCTGGTCTTGAAAAGTAATATCTAAGTCTACTGCTCCTTACCAATTACCCAAATCTTTCTCAAGTTATAGAGTGGATCTCTGTGGGACAGTGTGAACTCCCTGCTGGGATGTTTCCCAGTTACAAGGAAGTGGCTGGCATTGGTACCACACTCACCGAACGCCCTGGAGACAGGCCGCAGCATTCGGCTGTGGATGCTCTTCCTCTTGGACTTGGGAGTCATCTGGCAATCAGAGAGAGGCAGAACTTAGGTAAGCATGGAAACTTATCTCAAACTCCAAGGCACCGGGGATCAGCTAGTTAAACTAGGTTCCTGTTTCACTACTTAACAATGGCTCCACTGTAGCAGCTGCTAGCTTGACTCAGGAGATGCATAGACGGATTTCTAAATGTTTAGAACTTTCTCGAGTGATTCAGCCAACTGCTCTTTTATCCTACACCTCTAACTAGTTAAAATCTATTCCTGCAGCTGAAAAGAACAGCGAATGATAAATTAACTCTAAGCCATACGTGAGAATGTCAAAATGGAGATAAGGAATCAGCCTCAAAGACTAAACATCAGTCACAAAGCACTGAAAAAGATTATTCATGACTGTAATTGTCGGTTGTCACAGCAACACTGGTGCAGGCATACTGTATGCAGTCTCTGTGTGTCACTTCAATGCTTTAGGTAGCTTAACTCTTTGTTTCACAGTGTGCCATTAAAATTTTAGGACAATGTGCCACAAATCAAAACTATCAGCTTCTCAGTAAATGTCTTGTCTGCTAGAGCCCTTTAAAAATAAGTCCCAGAGCAAGGCCAAACTTGAGAACATCTGCCAAGTGTTGGCATCAAGTATGGGGCATCCACCATCCCCACCTGTCATCCACCACAGACCATCAGCCACCATTCACATCTGCCATCCTGTGTGGACCTTCCACCACCACCCACACTTGTCATCTGCCAAGCCATCTACCATCACCAGCGCTGTCACCCAGTGTAGACCAAACACTACCACCCAGACCTGTCTCCTTCAGAAGATACAGATGGTAAAGCTCGGAAGAACCTCAGGCATCAGCTATACAGATAAACTTGAAGATCAATACAAAGTCACGGGATGAGTGATAAACACTAACAAATCTGAGCTGTTAGATGATCTGGGCCAGGACAAGAACCAGGGATGGAGCTAGCCCCCTACTACGCCATTGCTACCAATACAGATGATGGGCTGTAGCTGTGTTTAAACCAGCATGATACTAATTTTTTAACATCATTTTTTTGTTGTTGTTTGAGGGCAGGGGGAGGGAAGAAGAGCTGAGGATTTTTTGTTTCATTTTTTGAGACAAGGTCTTATTACGTAGCCTAGGTTAGCCTCAAGATCACAATCCTCCTGACTTAGATTCTTATATGCTGGCATTTCAGGCAGGAACCACCAAGCCTGGCTCAAAAACCTGACCCACATACAAATTAAGAGAAAATAGAGCTGAAAGAGTGTCGTATACTTTGATGAAATGGTTGTCAGTTAAAGTTTTCTCCAATTCTATATTCTTTAAAAAAATAACCTGGTTTACACCGACCTGGAAAAGCAAACAACTTTTCAGTTTTGACAGTTATCCTGGCTCTAATAAAAGAAACACCCATTTGCTATTAAATGTTGGGAGAACAGGGAGAGAAAAGCTGAGCTGATGAGATTCCCTACACATAACTGCTTTCCCCAAAGACCAGTGTGACTTGCTGGAGGCAGCCAGGTTTCATGGGAGGCTCACAGCTTGCAGAGCATTGGAGTGGTCTGGAGCACCCCACTCCTCAGATTCAGCAAAAAGCCAGTAGGCATCTATTTTAAGGAGAACCTCTGATAAGATACACGATGTGTTTAGTTCTCCAGAGTTTTATACACCTTTCGTACAGTCTCAGTAGTGAAAAGGTCAACAGGGAAGCCAGAAACAAGGCATATGGTGTTCGCCCATGATTGCCAACTCAAGGCCAGCAAGGGACTTTACAATAAGTTTGAAGTGAGCTTCGACTATACAAGACCCTGTCTGATACACATTCAAAAAACAACACAAACTAAGCTTGAGATATAATTTTATCCAGATATTAATAACCAAGAAAGAAGTTTAAAATGCAGGTGTGTAGGAGACCTGAGGTTTTGTGTCCTTTTTGTGCCTCAGGATAAGGTTGTTTGCACACAGAGCATTCACAGACAAAAACAGCCTAGCTCCAGTTTCCATCTCCTTAGAGCCAGTATAATAGATAAGAAATGTACATGAAAGGTGTCAAAATTGTAACATTTCTTGTCCATACAGTAGCATTAATATTTGAAAAGGAACACATGTATAATTTCATGTACAGTTAAAGAACAGATAAGAACTAGAGAAAGAAACTCATTTGCAAACTTGGTGACCCATCTATAAATAAGTCATTTAGGTGTCACTTGGAGACACATAAAAACAGGAAAGTCACTGGGCATTTCATTAGCTGACATGGATCAGAATGGAATTAGTTGTTTTTTTTTAATTATTACTATTTCCAATGTTTCAAAGCCTGGTATTATGTTTCAAATAACAGGAAAAAATATCTTCTAGTACATTCTACTGCATTCTTGTATTTTGAATGATCCCTCCAAGAGCAGAGAACTGATACTTATGTTTCCCATAAAAGTCTTTTGTCGGTCTTCCCATTTCTGCTAGTTCCCAAGTTTTACCATCCTTAGAAAGGTCTGGTGGTTCTTGGCTGAAGTGAGAAACTGCAGCCCTGGGTACTACCTCTAGCCTGTAATCCCACCATGCAAGAGGCTGTAGCAGAGGGGCACACTGCTGCAAGTTTGAAGCCAGACACACCCTGCCTCAAGACAACAAAAGACCCTCCAATGCCAATAGCTTCAATCTTTCTCTCATTAAGATAACACATAACACAGAAAGAAAACGCAGACTTCACCTCTCACGAGCTGTGCCTTTTCTTTTTAATGCTTTCTTACTTTTATAGCAAATACAGACTTGCTCAGTCTCTCTTGCTTATTCTTATGACTCCATTGCAAAACTCCCAATCGAGGACAGGAAAGAGGGACTTAGTTGCTTATTTAGCAGCAAATTTTCCAGCTTCTCTAGAAATCCACTTGTTTGCACCGTTCTTCCTTCTCTTAATGCTTAGGTTGATAAATTGTATCCTGGGAGGAGGGATGGCAGCGACCCATCTTTAGAACTATGTGTGCTCTTCTCTTTTTGTACAAAAATGAAAGGGTTAATTCCTTCAGCCTGTGCCTTAGCCCCACTCCACTATCCCTGCACACTTGCCAATGGCTAAGCAGCTTTCTGAGTCAAGGAAATCCCAAACTGCTCATCAGATGAAGGACAAGGGCAGCTAAAACAGAAGGAGCAGGGCTATCTTTAAGCTCAGCCAGAACTAACCTTGAAAAAAAATGCATTTTATGAGTAAGAAGAGGAAAAATGTTAAGTCTTTATTTGAAAATGCAATTTTAGAAGGAAATCCTAAATATAGACTTTCTCATCTTGATACCATAAAGTGCCAATAAATCTGTACTGTGTGATAAGCGTCGACAGCACACCATGGCTGTTTCTGAAGAGACCAAAAGCATGTAGATATCTATGTTTCTTGGAAATCTTACTCATTGGAGCCAATTTTTATAATGTGTAAAGCTATTCTGCATGTAGCTCAACATTTGTTCACTGTCAACACGGTTTACAAAGTAATAATAGAACTTGGTTCCCAACAGTTTCCGCCTCTCAGACCCACTTCTAACAGGTGATCCCTAAGCATATAATTTTTAAAAATGAGACCTAAATTGCTCGAATTACCATAAAAACAGGATAAGATAGTTTCCGTATTAAAAACATTTTAAACTTTTTTTGCTAAGTTTTCACAAAGAGTAGTATACAATGTTCTCATCCTAAGCTAGAGAACCAAAGTTATTTTTTTTTCTTCCTTCTCCAGTCAAAAAAGAAAAAAGTACCTCCCACCCCACCCCCACGCACACACAACCAATACCAGTTGAGAAGCAGATTAGGAATGAGAAACAAATCATATTGTTAATTTTCTATAATCCTGGGCCTGTGACAAGAAATATGACAAGAATGAAAAATACTTGGGCATTTACTCCTTGAGTTGTAAGAACTCCCCCCACACTGCCCCCATCAAATGTGGCATCCTCTTCCAAGTTCTCTTACCCTCAGGCAGACAGTTGGGGAGATTTTCAATTCATCCCCTGGTTTATTTAAGACTGAACCATCTGGTCAACCCCAATCCTGTCTCTAAATTATTGCCTGTTTCATTCAGGATCTGCTGATGGAACGACAACATCTCCCGGGAGACCAGCCAGGCAGTGCAGAAGCAAATGGAGCGTGAGAATGCGAACCAGCATGGCCAGGGACTGCAGTGCCACTGGAGGATACTTACACTTGTACAGCAGAGAGTCTCCATGCAGCAAAAGGAAAGGGAAAAAAAAATATGAATGGAAGAGAGACAAAGCAACAGCATTACAAGAAAAGGGGAGGAGGGAGAGAGACCATATGTAAACAAAGTAGGAAAAGCTAAAATACACAAACAGCCATTGCAGCAAAGAAACAGGGTGAGAGTAGTGCCAAGTTCACAGCATAAAGCATCCAGCCAAGCTTTGGATAAGCAGCGGCACAGCTACAGCTTGAGAAATTGCAATGTTCGTACATACAGATATTAACTCTTTTTCTAAGGATATCTCCAAATCCACGGTGACATCATCAGCTGCCAGGGCACTCAGTGGGCAGAACACTGGACAGATATTAGAAACCCTCACTTAGGTCTTGTCTTGGCCTGCAACGTGGGGACTGGGAATCTTTGGGTGAGCACAGCCGTCTCTTAAAAGCCACTTATAGCCCACTTTGCTCTTCACTGCATTTCTGGAGAAAAGCACTCAGAATTCTCTTACTCACTCAGTTATTAAAGCTTCTTACACAGAATCTGATACTGGAATCTTGTACAGTCAACCTGTCAAAGTGCAACTAAAGATTTCCTGGTGGGAATTAACATTTTACATTAAAACTTTAAATCCATTGGTCACCATTGACAGTTGTTAACACATCTTACTATTTAAAGGACAAAATATTTTAAAAGTTGTACTTGAGTCATCAGTGTGTATGAAAACAGCATGATGTGACAGAGAATCCTTCTGAAACTTCCAGAATACATGCTTTGTGGAAGGTCCCCACTCTGTCTACCTGAGGCTTTATTTTTCTTAGTTCTGTATTTTA